CATATATACATATATACATATATACATATATACATATATACATATATATATATATATGTATTTATTTTTTTGACAGCTCTCGAGAAAGATTAAAAAAAGCTCCAAAGGAGACATTGTCCTGCATTTCTATGGGTGGAAACAGTTTTCTCTGAATGCAGGCTGATTGCACTATTAGAAATGCATGATTATACCCACATTTAATACTGGTTCAGTAAAAGGTTTTGTATAAAAATACAGGATTGAGGATGCATGAGGTACGCAGCCCACAAAGTTAAAACCATTAAATCCAAAAATGACAGATTAAAGATAATGCTAAGATACAGAACCTTCCTGAATCTCTTCTTCACAGGCACAGTGGAAATTTATACTCTGTATCCAATAATGTCTCATAAAACATAACAATATATTCTTAGAAAATTGATAGAAAAAACATGGGAAAACTCATCTTCATAGTCAGAAACCCCTTCTGTGGTAGATAGCATATATCAATGACAGATGCAATTCAGTTTGCTCTAGAACAATTATCAAGTCTTGGTTTATCTCTTTGAAAAATAACCCTGTTATTTTCATAGTTAAAAATTCCAGGCCACTTTATGATCCACTCATTTTAGCTTTTCCAAAAATCAGTAATACCTTCTCATTTTAAAAATACTGTTCTGTGATAATTAATAAATCATCCCTTTTGGCACTCAAACAAGTACCTGTCAATGTGACTAAAACATGACTAAAAAAAATCCAGTTTCTTCAAGATATCTGTAAGAAAAATCATGTAGTTACAGAAGCTTTGGTCACCAACCAGCTGTTTACTCACCCATTTCTTGTCTAGTACTGCAGATTCCTGTTCCATATTTTTGTAGCTCTTTGGTTACAGTTTTCAAAGCGTTAGGATCTGTTTCTGCAAAGCCGAGGTAGTTATAAGAACCCATATTGATTACATTCTTGATGGTTCTTCCTGTAAACCTATAATCAAAGCAAATTTTAAAGAATGCTGTGACCCTTCTTTGCACTCAAAACGAAAACAAACAAAATTTCCAAATTTTGTTCCATCGTCAGCCTTCCATTTGGAATTCACAATCCTTATAATGTTAACATCTTACTTAATAATTATTGCATCCTGCTCACAATGAGCAGGAGAACTGTAGATGGCAATATACCAATATTAGGTGAAATGGCACTTCTGTAGATTTAAAAAAAAAAAAAAAAAAAAAGCCTAGAACTTTTTATGGTACGACTTAAAGAGATAATTTTCTCAAATGGCTCGCCAGCAGCTTCCACTGGTGTTACTGTACTTACACACAGAATAAACATGAGATGAATGACATGGGAAACACTGTGATACACTCCACCCTAAACATTGTGTGCATGATGAATTTCCATATCCATTTAACTCAGTAACAGATATGATAGACTGAAATTTTCAAGTTTTAAACTGGTTAAAACTCACTTCCAGAGACTCATTATGCAAGATAGAAGCCACATTTATGTAATGCAAGAAATTATTATTCTAGTCCAAAGGGATATAACAAATGTTGTAATATTCTGGCTAAGATGTTATAAATGAAGCACAGGAAGTTCTTACTTAGGCTGATAAAGATAGGCAAAACTAGTTTGTTACAGAGCTCAGTCCCTTCCAGTCTTCACTGCTAAACAGTGTTCAGAAGAAAGGGGATAGACTATCAGAACTGTACCGATTTCAGGAAAAAAAAAGTGCTGATGTATATATTAGTTGGGGGTCTTGGTATGACACACTAGATGCATTTTTTTCCATGCTTTGCAGATATATCAGGATGAACATTTACAGAGCTGAAAGCTGAGAGTGTCAGCCAACTCACCTAAATGTCCAGTTGTAATCATCTGTAACGCGTTCCATGAGGTCAAACTGCGGCCCTGGGACACTGCAAATTGGACGATTCCAGTTATCACGTATTCTCATATAGAGGTTTCTGGTGTAAAAGTTCTCAAAATCTTGATAAAGTGGCACAAAATCCTGGTTTGAAAACATGCACAGGGTTACGTTGCTAGGAAAGTGTCTGCTAAGGAACTCAAGCCATTCCCATTACATAGGAAAAACTGATGGATTAGTATGCAGAAGGTTACAATCACCACATATTTTATGCTACAATTCCAATTGGAAATTATCTTTAATTTCTTTGAAGTACAGGTTATTTATTTATTTAAATTTCATACGGTCCAGAAGTTGGCATAATTCTCCAATCCAATCTTTGGGAAGGTCAAGATGAAGTCACAATACTTTCACTTACATAATCCACATTTCTCAAATGGGGCACTTTGTTATGTGCAGAGTACATTCCAAACCTGAGATAAACAACAGGTTGTATCTCAGTAAATGTTTGATACATTAAAGCAAGTCCAGTGTACCTGGTTTCAGCATTGTTGGCCAGACAACAAGTTTGGTTGACGGTAAGTTTCTGTCTGTGAATTTTAATTTGGAAAACAAACTAACAGGAAGGTACAGAATGAAAACAGACATTTATCTGAAACCCTAATACAGTCATATTAGACACTCGATAGAATAAACTGGTAAAAGAAAATGACATGGTATGTAGGAGACTGAAGAATGAACTAAACATGTTGTGCCTGGTGGATGGTATGGAGATTCGACCAGCATGTCTGAAAGCAAAATAGTGCATGAATAGTCAAAACATGAAGTGAATTCAAAAGGAAAATCCAAAATAAATATATCATAACACTATGATATTTCATTTGAAAATGCACATATCTTCAAAAAGTCAAAACAGAAAATCTTTTTTGAGAATTTTATATGTAAGAGGAACAGAAACACTATTTGCATTTTTCCATTCACTATGCCAAGTGTTATTTTAAATTACAGTGCAATCTGTACAGGCAGGGAAGGTGGAACAATAAAAAAATCTAAACAAATTCAGAATGCAATTAAACTTGCTGGGGTGCAAGTTTCATTTAGGAATATGCAAATTCTAGGCAAGGATTCACAAGAATTCAGGCTACATTCACTTTGCACCAGGACAATTTCCACATGTTTTGTGACCAGCTGTTTGACAAACGAAAGTGAGCAATTACAGAGATGTGGCTCTGCCTATTGCTACGATAGACAAGGTAAGAAAGTCAAACGGGACAAAAAAAGATCAGGGTAAAGAGATCGGGAGAGATGATGTATTTAACAGTAAGGGGTTTCTGAGTTTTCTTTTTCTATAGATTGAACTAAGACACTGAGGTACATAACTTCTTTTTCATACGTACTTTTTGTTGTTGTCTCTCCTGTGCAACGTTACGTTTTTCTAGTCCCCAGGCTCTCATAAAATCTCGCAGGTAACCAAATATTGTGCCCACTCCAAAACCCACAAACGTAAGAACAGCAACATACATTGGTGCTTGTTCAAAGTGCTCAATAAATGTTTTTTTGTGGGGAGTTCCGTTTGTTACACCATTCTTCTGAAAATACAGAACAGAAATTTGCAACATTTAAATAAAATAATATTTTATTTGATCAAAGCTTATACCAAAACCTTAGATCTTGAGGAAGACATTTTTGTCTACTATGGCACAAATCCAGAGAGGCATTTAGAGCTCTCACCATATCAACTAATGCAACCTATCTTTGAAGAAGAGGACCTCTAAAACTGCACTTGGTACTGATCACTGCAAGCATGTTCCATTTTTTCTCCTGTCAACCAATGTCTTCAATTGCAGATGTCTTCCACTTACCACTCCCATGTCTATTTTGAAACATTTAAAACTTATGAAAGACTAGCAACGCATTATTGTGTAATTGGACAACTATTTCAAAGGTGATTAAATGGAAACCACAATATTCTGTTTTTGCAAGACAACTATAAAAAGGGAAGGGCAGCATTGAAAACTCACCCACATCAAACCTGACGCTGCTTCTTGAAGTCTTTTGTAACACACTAGAGCAGCTATCCCATACACAAGAAATCCTGCCTAATATAGGGCATCTTTACCAGGATGCTCTTCTTGATGTGAGTAAGTAACCAAAACAGCAGTGATCCCAGCCTTTTATTTTTGTTTCAGGTTTTGTTTTTTTTTTTTAAAAAAAAAGGCTTTAAGTACTTTCAATTACCTCATCCATACTTTTAAGGGTACTCTACAATAAAAGAGGCAATATACATGGACATGTATGCATCCCTTGTCTGCTGGAATTAGTCACCCTCTTCTGAGGGACACCTAGAAGCTTACAAATGTGTGGATGAAATTATTTGGTTGTTAAAATATACCAAAACCTTCAGCAGTTGTTAGTGAAAGAAGCTAAGTTATTCAATTTCAGTCTTCTCTGTAGATCAATCTACATTTGCAAGGTTATCAGATTATTCTTTTGAATAGAGGTCATCCCCTTAGTTCCTTAAAGTATGACAGTATTTTCCTGTTGCTTTCTAGTGATGTCCAACCTACCAATTCAAAAACATTTTAAAAAATGTAATCCAGAAAAAAAAAAAAATCCAAAAACAACCACTCTTTGCCTGTGGAATGAATGAGCAAAAAACAAACAAAAAACCAAACAGCCACAACAAAAGAAGGAGGTTATCTATTGATGCAATGTAGCAAGTTGAAATACAATAATCATGCTAAGAACCACCACAAATTATCTGCACTTCCTAGAGAGATCTAGTGTTACTGGCCTTCCTACTGCCTTAAGCTGCCGATACAGTCAAAAGATTTTCATTTCCATTGTAACGTCCAGTCTTGGTTTCATCATGTTTTCTTGGAAGAAAAAAGTGCTGAATACAGGACAGAATGTAAAGATTTCATAGGTAACCAAAAAAAGGAAAAAAAAAATCACTAGGAAATGGTGAAAATAATGTGTTTAGACTTAGGAAAGATTTACTGCCCTGTGAAGGAGAAGGAATAAAAAGCTGTCTCTTCCAACATGAGCACAGAATTTGGAAGCGATTTTACACTAGCACCCCTACCTAAAGCTAATTGTTCTTTTAGGTCAACCTATCTACCATATAAAACATTTTGTGAGCCCAAACTAAACACGTCAAGTCATATGCCAGGTAAGACACAATGGCTACGTGCACACTACATCACAACACTGTATTTCATCCAGGACTAAGCTAAGTCCCGTTACCTTACATGTGTGATGGACTACGAGCATACTTATGGTCATCTATGGCAATTCCATTGACTTTGTACTTTGGCAAGCTGTGATGATGTGATAATGAACCTGAGTTCAGAGGAGAGAATTAGCATGACGATTCCGTTCATCCATTTTATTAATAAAACTTTACTATTATGTATTTCATTTGTAAAGAAACTGAGAAGCTCTGGCTTAGACTCCTGCATTGCAAAACTCTTCTGCAACACTCTTTTGCTATGGAACTCTTGTTTGAGCTACATTCTGAGCTCAGATGCTCCCATTTTATGCATTGGTATATGCATTTAAAGATTTAACCAGTCACCTCCTATTCTTACAGTAAACAGCTAGTGGTAAACTGCACATCAACAGGAGTAAAACACTAAGAACATGAAGTCAGATAGTGACCCAAATTTTCTAAAACAACAGACTATCAATGTTCAAAAACAAGAGTCTTCAAAAAGCAGAGGTTAGTATAAGGCTGAGAAAACAAATTCAGAAACATACAGTGAATTTTTTTCTAAAAACAGAAGTGGTAAAAACGGGGCTTTCCATCCATCCCTGGAGTTCCGCAAAAAAAAAAAAAAAAAAAAAAAAAAAAAAAGAAGTAGAGGAAGACTCCAAGCACTGAAATAACCAAAATAGGTGGATTCTAGGGAGTCATAAAACTGGATGCTTTTGTGCTGCACTTCAGATACACCATACCTGAACTCTAGCAATTTTTAGCAGATGATGAGGGAAAGATTCTAAAATAAAAACAGTGAATAATGCTTTCCTTAGTACATTCTCCCAACTTCCAACAAACTGAAGCTTGGATATTTCGTGATCCTGAGACTACATTATCACATTTAATTGTCATTGGGGATACCATGAATATGTTCTTATTTTTGAACACACAAATAGTATGGGAAAAAAATAATGAATTTCAATAATTGAGTTAGCCTGAAAAAGAAAAAAAGTATTTCACAAATTTTTATTAGGTAATTGATACTTCCACTCGACAAGTTACTTTACGACCATTGGCTTCCACTCAGTTTTCCTTTTCAGCTAATAATGCTCTCTCTCCAGTCAGAGATCCCTGAGGGACTCAATTCCCTGCATCTCCCTGGCCAAAGGTTGTATCTTTGTAACCCTCCAATTCTATCTTGACAATGCCAACTTAAGCAGCAGCTCAGAGCTGCTCAGCAACTTTATTCTTCACAAATCTTGAGTAAATATTATCCTTTGCTAATTCCAAATAGTATTGTCTTGTTTAAAAAAAATAATTCTGCTGATGTTCCAAATCAAAATAGTTTCTCACAAGTCTGCCACAGAGTAAGAATACTTTCTAGGCACAAACACAAGGAATCCACCAAAGCAAGGAATAAAGATAAAAAAGACAGGAAGCTAATAGATAAAATTAAAAACAAACATATTTTAAAACCCAGCTCAACAAATCTAGGATGTCAACAGCTTTGTGGAAACAAAAAGCAAAATCAGGATTATAATATTTATCCTCCTTGCACTGAGGCTTACTTAGCTTACCAGATCACATTGCCTTGTACACTCTTACAACCAAAGATCATTCTGGCAGCCCTGCCTCATAATCTCCATCTGCAGTGCACAGTTATATAGAATCCTTGTTGACAGATCTGGCAGCAGCCTTAAACCACAGTTGCAAAGTGGTTTCCAGTAAGACAGTCACAGCAAGAGAATTTCTGGGCAAAGTTTTAATGCCAATGAAGTCAACAGGAGCAATTCCAGTACGGTCAGTCAAGCCAGCTTTAAATGCAATACATCTTGTATCCCTATATTGTGCAGTTTACAAGAGAAGAGGTAACCACGTACTCCAGTATAATTTATGAGTAAGCCCATGAATGGAACGGAGATGAGGAAACTGAGACCTGAGAGCCCATGTTTTCACACAAGACCATTTCGTAGAAGCAATATACACTGCAAAGAAATCCAGAAATCACAGTCTCCTTTTTGAAACCTCTCCTTAATTAATATTTTGTAAGCTATTATGGCTCCTTCCAGTACAGCAGCGGTAGGTGTATATATCCTTGAAACAAAACTACTAGGAGAATAAAGTCTTTTTCTTTAAACATATTTCCTCTTCTAGAAATAAAAACTGATCCAGAAACAGATGAAACTTTATTTTACACTCCTTCAGTTTAAGAAGCACATTTAATCTGTTTCTGGATCAGATGTTATCATGTTGTTGCATAAAACCTATAAAAACGCAATGTAAGCTGAGAGATCCACATAACGCTGACATGACAAACACAAATATGAAAGGGATAGATGTTGAAAACCATAAATCAAATGACAGCCACATTTGCCCAGTTTCTGCCTGATTCCAAGAAGCCATTGAAATCTCATGTGAATTATGACAATGCATTGCTACAGCCAAAAACCAATGGGAGCACAGACTGACAATCACTGATGAAACATCTGGTTGCTTGCAGATAATTTGGTTCTACACAGAGATGAATGGAGCTACTAAATGCCTTCCTTGCTTCAGTCTTTACTATTAAGATTGCTCCTTAGTAGTTTCAGATCTGGAGACAAGAGAGAGAATCTGGACAAAGGAAAACCTCCCCTTGGTTGAGGAGGTTCTGGTCAGGGATCATCTAGCCAAACCTGACATACACAGATCCACAGGTCCCAATTATGCACTCATGAGTGCTACGGGAGTAGGCAGAAGTGACTGCTGAACAACTCTCTATCACCTTTGAATAGTCACAGCAAATGGGAGAGGCGCCTGAATTCTAGAGAAAAGCCAATATTGTTCCAGTCTTCAAAAAGCAAGAACGAGAAGTCAGGAAACTACAGGTCAGTCAGCTTCATCTCCATTCCTGGAAAGGTGATGGAGCAGCATACTCAGGATGTCATCTCTAAGCAAATAGAAGAATCGAAGGTTATCAGAAAGAGTTAACATGGGTTCACCAAGTGGAAATCATGCTTCACCAATCTAGTAGCCTTCTATGATGTCATGACCAGCTGGGTAGATATGAGAAGTGGTTGTTTCCTACCTTCAGTAAGCCTTTTGACAATGACTCCTATAACATTCTCATAGGTAAACTTAGGAAGTGTGGATAGATGAGTGGACAGTGAGGTGGATTAGAACTTGCTGACTGAGAGAGCTCAGAGGGTTGTGATCAGTGACGATGAATCTAGTCGGAGGCCTGCCTGGAGCAGTCTACCCAGAGAGGCAGGGGAGTCTCCTTTGGAGATATTAAGAACCTGTCTGAATGTTTTCCTGTGCAACCTACTGTAGAGAACCTGCTTTAGCAGAGGAATTGGACCAGATGATCACCAGAGGTCCTTTCCAACCACTATGATTTCTGTGATACAG